GTAGAGAAGTTGCGATCGGTGTCGGTTATGTAACTTTTACAAGGAAGTCTATTTTCTCTAAAAAAAGGAACTTGTAAAACAAAGCTTTGTATAATTGGAATGAACTTGTTAGAGTTAGTTCTCTTTGGTAGTAGAGGTGGAGGTTTGCGCTGAATCATTCACATCCTGCTTATTGGAAGACAACATACTCTGGGCATTTAGGAAGTGACAGTAAGCAGAGTTTCTTTAACAAAGAATTTCCAATATATATGTAATATTTAGGGTTCAGTTTAGGGGGTTATAACATGAAATTCGACATCACTTCATCACATCAGCTAAATGGTTGATCAACTGTGACCTTGGGCAAGTTAATTGTTAATATATTTTTTTAACTTTTAGGGAAGGTTGTATACAGGGTATTTAGGGTCTCACTACTAGATTGGACTCATAGTCACCCACCTGTTTACAGCCTCCCAAGAGCTGGGATTACAGGTATGTGCCACTATACCCAGTTTCAATTGGCCTCTCAGCATGCCCCCGGGGCGGGACCAGCATAGCAGGCCCAGGGATCGAACCCCCAGCCCCTGTGCCTGCTTGCAGGTACTTTAATCCACTGAGCTATTTGTCTGGCCCTTAATTGCTATTCTTAACCACTCCTAAGCCTCAATTTCTTTGCCCCCAAAATGGTGATAACAGTGGCACCTCTTCAATACGAGTTGTATGAGTTAAATAAGAAAAAGGAAATGATGCCCTTAGTGAGGAGGTTGGTGGCAGTGCTGGCAAACACTTAAGCAGTACTGACTCTCCTGAAGCCTTATGGATATCAACTCATGTAAGGCACCTCTGCTGTCCTAGAAAGTGGTGTTCTTGGCCTTGGCATTGTTGACATTTTGGGCTGGATGCTTCTGTGTTGGAAACAGGACGCATTGCAGGGTGCTGTCAGTAACCCTGGCATCCTCCCAGTGGGTGCCAGTCACACATTGCCCTCGAGAGCTATAGCCACAGATATTTCCAAGTGTTCCTGGGAGGAAAGTCGCTGCTGACCATGAGCCACTGTCCTCAAGTGTTTGTATCCCCACTTTGCCACTATGATAGCTAAGGTGTGGAACCCTAAACAGCTAGGATACAAGCCAAGTCCTGTTACTTCTACATCTCTGTGCAGAAGCACCAGTGCTGTCCTGCAGAAAATGTCAATTATTACCACCATTATATCCTTATAAAGTAATAACAAAATCTGTATTGCTTCAGAATATGTGAGGGGTTTTGTTTTATAGAAAGACATTCAATTCCTTTCTCAGGTCACTTCAACAATTACTGTTTGGTGCTACCAGCATCATTTGTAGATATGAAAAAGGAATTTATGCTTCCAGTTCTTTATTCCAGTTCTTGTACCTAAATGTTAAATTTATAGTAAGCCAGTTGGTTCCAAGTTTCAATTCCATGGACCAATTTAAAATGTTTTAAGTCTTACTAGGAAAGAAAAAATCTGTTATATAAGTGGAAGAAGATGAGAGCCTTTGTGTAAGATTGTCATGCTTTTATTTTACCAAAGGAAAAAAGTCCGTGGAGAAAAAAGTAACATTTTCTTACCATTACATAAAAGAATAGATTTTGTTCTTTGAGATAAAATCTCACTATATAACCTAGGCTGGTACAGAACTTGAGATCCTCCTTCCTCAGCTTCCCAAGTGTTGGGATCATAGGAATGTTTCGTTCTTAGCAAAAAATATTTTAATACAAAACAGCGTGAAGACCATCTCGATTTACCAGCCATCCTGGCCCATGAGTAGAATGGCTACACTTTCAGGATGACAACACCAAGAAATGGAGGAAGACAGCTTTGAAGGTTCAGGGAGCTGCTCTACTAGCAAAGAGTTGCCTGCTCGCTGAGTGCTTCAACATTAAGAGCTAGTCGACTCCTAACCCTGACTGCTTTCTTCCCAGCTAACTGAATCTGGTTCTAAGTGACTGTCTAAAAGTGTGAAATAGCCAATCATCAGGCAAGGTGCCTGTTAACAGGTAACTTAATGAAGTTGATGAAAAGTGTATGGGTGACAAACAGCAAGACAAGGTGCTAGCTATAGTGCCTGAAAAGACCTGAGATCCCATATATTCATTTGGAGTGCTTTAGTCATTCTCGGTTAAAAAAAAAAAAAAAAGGAACTGCTGACATTGCCTAGGGAGAAAGCCTTTTGCCCAGATTCAGTTATTCCAAGAATGCCTCAAAATGTACACACTGCATATTGACTAGTACTGACATAGTTTATCCACATAGCTACTTCTATGTGTGTGCACGCATTGTGTGTGGTACTGGGGAGTGAACCCAGGGCTTTAGCATTGAGCTACTCCCCAGCCCATTTTTTATTTCAACATACACTCTTCCTTCATCACTGAAAGGTCTAGCTTGGGTTCAGATGGTTGACCCTCCTGCATCATCAGTTTTCCAGAGTACTGGCACTATACGTATGCACAGCCACAGCTGGTACATACAGGTACTTTGATTTCACATCAAGTCAGCATTGGAAGTGACCTTTGCCTAAGGTGCTTTAAAGAAGAAAAACGGATCCAAGTACTTTGGTGAGTCGATTAGCTGTTGTTTCTTCAGGTTGGCTAAAACCAAGCAGAAAAGAAAGGTGAGATCATTAATGTACCTAAGTAAAAAATCTAAGAGTGAAACTGAAATTAAGTAAAACTATATTCAAAGACAGAAAAAAAAGTCATCAAGACCATGAAGTTTTTCTCCAACTCTGTCTATCTCTCTTCTATATGTTATACTTTTTAAGAGAAAACATCTTATTGTGTTTCCTCACAAAGTTAAAGATCCTTCATCCTTCTTAAAAAGGAATCTTAAAGCCACGAAGGGACATTTCATTAAAGTTGAATTATTTAAAACATTTTACAAGTGTAAGGCAAGCAGCCTTCTTAAGTTTATGCAGCTCCTAATGTGTCAAAGGACTATAGCTAGAACTGAGAATTAGTTCTGAATTCTCAGGTGCAAAAAGAGCTGTACAACTTGTTAAGTAGCAGTGTTGTTCAGGGGACAGTACAGACCACAGGGATGGAAACTTCAGGCTCTGAAAACACAGGCGCATAGGTGGTTTCAGGTACAAAATGCAGCTGATTTCCAGGAAGGACCTCAGTTCTGATCTTACTGCCACCGGGATGGTGCAGAAATTCATCAAATCCTTGACATGCTGAGGTGATTGGACAGTCACCTTCCTCAAGTGCTTGCTGAGGAGATCACGATCGAATGCACCTAACTGTAGCCAAGAGTCAAGAGAGGCTGCATCATACCTACACTGACTGTTCTCCAGAGAATGTCCAGGCAAGACAAGAAAGAATAAAAGGCCCAAAGCTTGTAGATTTAAGAGCGTTAATGGAAATAATTTAGTAAGATAGACTTTATGGAAAGGACTATAACCCAAAAACATGAATGGAAAAAGATGTCCTAAACATGTCTCAAACCCTACACCATAGCAAATCTACATGAAGAAAGAAAAAAATTTCTAAAAGAAAAAAAAATGGTACATCCTATCATTACCTTGACATTTAGAAGGATTTTCTTCCTTATCTTTACAGTACATAATGATCACATTCATTCTGGAGACAAAGACTATTCTTAGATTTAAAATCTGGAATTGTTAAGATAAGTCTGGTTGACTTATACCATAGAAATAGAACTTATGCTTGAGAAACAATGTAAGCAAATTCAAATAACAATTACCAATAAGGCAAAAATACTAAGCTCCATCTCAGGCAAAAGGTACACTATCCTATCACGGGAAAACTTTTTAGAAATTGAGAGCCAGGCATGGGGATACATGTCTTAATCATAGCATCCTGGGAGACCAAGGCAAAAGGATCAAATCTTCGAGCCCAGTCTGAGTAACTCAGCAACGTAGAATGTGTTTGAAAAAAATTTTAAAACATCATCTTAGAAAATGATTTGGAAATGCCGCTGGACAAAACATTAAAAACAAGTCACATTGCTATTAAATATTTGAAAAATTCATGCATCAGCAATAAAAGCTAAAAATATACAGATAGGCCTTTTTCACATAATAAGAAAAATTCACATGTCTAATAACACTGTAATTTGTAGGGAAATGGATCTCATAATTTGCTGGAAAAGCATGAATTGGTCTCACCTTTATGAGAGCCATATGGCAATATCTATTAACATCCTAAAGCATGTCTTATGACTCAATCCCATGTTCAGGAATTAACTTTACACGCTAGCATAAGAGCAACATACTGTAGTCAGGATGAATTGTTCATAATAGTGAAAGATAGGAAAACAACTATCCAGATGGAGCAGTCTATTCAGAGGAACTGTTACATGACGCTTTCCTATTCATTCAAGGGAATGCTATTCCACTGCATAAAAGCATGAACGTGCTGTCTACACTTCAGAAAGATATGTGGTAAGTAGAAAAGAGAAACGTGCAGTGAAGCTGTGGGAGAAAAAGAATGTTTTATGTTTGATTTCCTATGCATTGAAAATTGTCGGGCTACTAAGAAAGGTCTATGTAGCTTTAAAGTTTAGGGGGTCGTGAGAAGGGACAGTTATAAGTCATGAATGGATGGAAAGGAGCACAGAAGTTATAATTTTTCTATGTTTTAGCTTTTGAGCTGTGTGGACACACTGTTC